ATAAAAAATCCAGTGAAAAAAGTCAACTTATCAAAATGTAAGCTTTTCACCAAGAATACCCGCTTTAACAATAACAACAACAACAAAACAACCAATGACCTTAGTTAATCAACCAGATATTAAACTCTGTTAAACTTGACACCATTTCTAGGAATAGAATAGAATTTTCATTTTTATTATAAAGTAACCTATGGCTTTAAAACATCTTGGAAATATCTATCCTTGCAATATTTCTAACAGCTTCTAAACTATTTGGGGGTCAAAATATGAAAACAATTTGCTTTTATTGTGGGGGCAACCTCAAAAGTTTTGCCTTATTTTAAACTATATTTTTCTACATCAGACATTAATGGGAATAGAAAAATTTCTTGAGAGTGGACCTCATTTTTTCAGATAGTCTCTGGTTAAATAAAGTATTTAAAAATAAATAGTGTGTGGGTGGAATGTTTAAGCATACATATAAATTTGGAAATATGTGCTCACATATGACATAAGAGAAGCAGCATGTATATGATACACCACTGTGGCTTCAAATCAGATTTTCTTCTTTTTCCAAGAAATTGCTATGCTGTTTTTTGCTTTCGTTATGTTTGATTAGATACATAAAGATTTAATTATAATCTTGTGTCATATAATGCTTAGGTAAATCAAGTTTTCTCAATGAATGTGTTTCTGTCTGCAATTGCATGGTCTAAGGTTTCACAGATTTTATGTACCACATTGGAGGGTTTTTTTTCTCTTATGTGAGAAATTATAAACTATAGTCACAAAGCAATATATAGCATTCATATGCAGATTTTTTTTTCATTCCTTCATCTAGGAAACATTATTCCTGTTGTGTGCTGTTATTCTCCTAGTTCAAACAACAAAATTGCAGGTAGATATCCACAAAATACTTTTCAGTAAATTACAGTACATTTTTAGTTACATTGACACTGAGCAGGGGAAGAATTCTTGCTGTGGAAGAAATGGTACTGGGGTGTAAATATACTTTAGGATATACCTGGCAAACTTTATGATGCCTTAGTTAGGACTGCAATTTATAGACCTCTGGGTAACTTACAGACTCTCCTGTTTCTGTCAAATAAAAAACCTGACATTTCTATCTTTTGCAAATCACTTTTAGAGTCACAGACCAATAAAAATGTACTTGACCCATCTAACTACCAGTAATGAGGTGAATACAATGTTGTCTCAAACCAGTATTACTGTGTAGATTATAATAATCTACACAGATTATAATCTGTGTAGATTATAGAGAAAAATTCTACCTATAGAAAAATAAAAAAAGCCACATCTGCAACCAAGAATTTAATACTAGATTTGATAGAAGTAATTGTGTTCACCTTTCAACTCTTTAATGATCTTAAAAGTCAGTATAATTATGCACTTCAAAGTATATTTATTTCTTTTCAGAATCACAAAATACTACTTTTCTTTATATCATACAAGAGTACTTGTCCATAAAAATAAGATGCTGCCACTTTATATTTCATAACATGCTTTCATCCAAAATTGCTAAAAACAAAAAAGGACAGGAAATATTTCGCTGTTGATGAGTGCCAGCACCTGAAGGCGTGGATAGGATAAAATAACTGAGAAGAGACCTTCACTTTAAAGGGAAATTCCTATGAGTCCCCCTGCCCCTTTCAAAACAACAAAGAAAACAACCAGTAAACAGGAAGCATTTTTTTTTTCACTTTTAATTCTTAGGGAGAAGGAGAGGTTTTTGTTGGTATCATCAAATTTCATGAGTTCTGTAGTGATTGTATTAACCAAGCTATCAGAATTAGTAGGCTTAGGAAGGCCCATGCTATGTCTTAGTGGGGATATAACTTAGTAGAGTAAGTACACTAAGTTTATTTGTTTGAATAAAAAATTTAAGTCAGAGTGTCCACTGTGTAATTGTTGAATTCAGTAGTTTTACACTGGCCAAAGCAGAGTAAGGAGTCTTACCTTAAATCTTCTTCAAATGGATTAAATTTATGTGAATTTTTTTATTAGCACTCTGTATGCTTTTCAAGGTGCCTGGAAATCTCAATTTAAAATACGCCTATTCAATTGTCGTATGGTGGAAGGAAAGAGGTGTTGGCATTTCACTACAAGATGGGAGTGATTTCAATGTTTGGCATACTTTTTTAGGAGGACTTGTGTCTTCTAGTTAGACACTGGAGCTCTTCAGAAATTTAAATAAATAAATAAAATTGGAAGTCTTTTTAAAGGGCCTTTCTAATTAATTTGCTCAAATAATCTCATAACCTTTCCAGGACAGAGAAAATATTTCTTATATTTTACACTATTTAGTCAGTAGAATGCATTTTATGACATCAGGCTCTGCAATATAAATAACTATCAAAGAAAGAATTTGAATCAATTATAAGTTGTGAAAACCTATAGTTATGGTAACTTATGGACAGCATGTATTATGCATACCATATGTATACACTATAGCAGTATCTGTCATCAGATGTAAGGGATTTCCACCTTTCTTTCTTACTGCAATAATATAATACAATAGGTAAGCACATATAATATAACAATAAATTTACTTGATTAATTTAGAACTGTGCAACAGAAAACATACAAATGCAAGAGTTTTTACGGCATTAGAGTAAAGCATTTTTTTTCCATAGAAAACACACCAAAAAAAAAACTTCTAACACAGTTTCATAACAGGGGAGATTTTTTTTTTTACAGATATAGAAGATGGAAAAGCAAGGGAATGATGCTGTTTACTCTAAACCAAATTTAAATGTCCTTTGAGTGTTATGTGCTAAAACCAGCATTTTTGACATCTTAATCCAGATGCATGAATTATTGTCCCACAAACAAGGAGATTAATAAAAATCTGTTCTCTCAGCAGCTTGCTCATTTAATACCTGCATAACTCCTGCAGCATGTCTCGCTCTCATTAAACTGCATACACATGGTTCATTTTCTTTTTTTTTTTTAAACTTTTTATTGAAAATCTTACATATATGACTAAAAGTCATGGGTAATATGTTTGAGTTCCATTACAAAATATTTCATATATATATATATACCTATATATATATATTTAATACAACTAGAAGCAGATCCACTGAATTACAAAATAATGATTGTCTACCAAAATGTAACTCAAATTAAATATGTTGCAGATTATTAAAATTATTTTGTGTTCTCTGATGGAGCCGGAGGCCACTTTCACATAGTTAATTGGTAGTGCCTGGCTGCAAATATTACAAAGCCTTAATGATAATCTCCCATCTCCCAGCCTGGTGTCACCCGTATATTAGGATTTTAGTACAAGGATCCTTCTTTCAGAAAGACATACTTTTAGAGTGAGCATCATCATCTATGGAGTACCTTCTAGTCACAAACACAATCCTGAAAACAATTCTGTATGCCTCTCAGTAACTGCAGGCAAGTCAAGTCATTTCAAGTTAGGTACAAGCAAAAAAGTTGTGGTAGCAGAATCTAATTTAGGAACTCATCTACAGATTATCTAAAACAAAAAACCCCAAAACAATACTTAAAACCACTATTTTACTTGAATATACACCTTATTATCTAGTAATAAGTCATGAAAGATGAAGTATAAATATTGTGAGAATCATAAAAAAGTTGTCGTATTCTAAGAAATCCTACTTCAAAATTGTACAGTATTTTAACCAACAGTCCTTCTGTTTTGGCACTCCTGAATCAGCGTAGAAATTATGTGTAGTGAGTTAACACCTTTGGGGAAAAATACTTATGTGCAGCAGGATCTAAAGATGATTTCTGGAGTTAATAGCATTCAATTTCTTAACATAAGAAAGAAATTGAAAAGAGTCTTTCGCTGTGATTCAGCAGCAGCAAAAAGAAGGGGAAGAAGAAAAGCAAGGTGTTTACAGTCTTTGAAGCATATAGCATGGTTAACCTTGAAAATTAAATCTTGCACTAAAGACACTCACCGCTACCTCTGTAGTCTTCTTTCCAAAAATTCAATGTACAAATATTTTATTTAAATGTCTCAGACTTTGTAATGGCTCAGAAGAACAACTGTATGTCCTTGGAGCTGCTCTCCTTTCTGAGAGATGAATGGCAGGCAAGATTGCTTTACTGTAATTTCTCCATTTCCATGCTTCATTTCCTACATTTATCTGAGACTGGAGAAAAATCAGCATGTTCTGACAAGTCTAATACCATGAGGCAGTAAAATGGACCTGAATTTAGTGGAGACTGGAGCTCCAAAATAAATATAACACTTTATGTCAAATAATAATAATAAAAAGGATAATTTCTCCTGTACAAATCAGAAGAGATAATAAAAAATAGCAAATAGATAGCAACATCTTTTCTATACCTACATGGGCATCACAAAACCTTTCAACCATAAGAATATCCCTCCATATTTCTCATTTCATGTGGTTTGTAAACTACTTCAGTAAGTTGATGACAAACATTGTGGAATTTCTTAGTCAGAACAGTAATTTTTAATAGATTTACCCCAGAAAATTACAAAGATTTCTAATTATATAGCTCTGAGGAGAAGCAAAAAAATGATCTGCTTGGCTTATGTTTGTTTTCTTGTCTGTCCTTCTCTTTTAGCCTACCAATCTGCATGCAACACTGTAAAAAACATTTGTTAAAAAAAACCTTGCATCTGTAAATACTATATATTGTAATGCTGTATTGAATGATACATTATATTTGTAAATTGTTTTCTTCTTACACTTATGTCATACCAGAAACTCTGTGTTCTAGATGTAGTAATACTGCGAATGCATCTACAGAGTCTCATTGGCTCAGTGAGGTCACAGTGCATAACACTCATGAAAGTCAGTTGCCTCTGCAGGTATCTGAGGGTTGCTATCTATTTGAACATGGCGGAGCATTTCATTTTATCAAAAACGCCACCAAATGCTCATATTCTGTGTGGTCAGTGCAGTCCCTAGGACAAGTCTAATGAAGATATGTTCCACCAAGGCAAAAAACCTAAGACGTTAAAAATGGAGAAATATTTACAACTTTCTTCAGTCTGTAAGGTTGAGTTTTCTGTTTTAGTATTCTTCAGTGCATTTTCAGAGAAAGGTTCCAAGGCTATGAGTATAAGCAGTCTGGTCCGGTCCCATACATATCCGCAAGCCTTTTAAAGCGAGGGCCCCAGTCACTGAGGTAATCGTAGTTCTGGTCAGAGTTTGAGCTGATCGAATCTAAGGAACTGAGCGACTCTGCCACCGAGCCATTCCCCTCAAATGCATATGTCTGCAGGGAGTCGTAGGGTGGCGCACAGGGGTCCACATCAGCTTCTTTTAGTCTTTCCCAGATAAATTCCCTAAAAATTACATTATCTGGAATGGTTTTAAAAGTTGGTCTGCTCAAGAACTGAATCTCGGGTGTCACATCCCTCCTGGTCTTGGTGTCTCGGATGATGTTGAGGTTTCTCAAGGCAGCCATGTCAAAAGCCTCCGTGTCTTCTTCTCCACCACCCTCATCATCATACCTGACGATGTTCTCTCTGATATCTCTCTCTTCATCAAAAATGAGGGGCTCTTTTTTCCGTCTCCTCATGGTGACAATCAGCAAGACAAGAACTGGAACACAGAAAGACTGGAGTTTTAGCAATGCTAAAATTTCCTCATATTTTTCCTTGTGGTGGAAGTACTCATTAATTCATATCTCAAAGACCCAAGGAAATAGAAGGCAATTAATACAGTTAGATTTAAAGCCTAGAAGGTTCTGAAACAGCTTTTAAACCATAAGATTTTTAGACATTAAAGAAGCTACTTCCCAAACAATTCTGGATTAACATCTTTGTCTCTAATTCTATATCCTATGCTGTCTGCCAAACATAAATTTTAGGACTGGTTCAGTCTAACTATTACAGTCTCACAGCCATGAAATAAAAGAAAGGCCTTTTCCTGAACTCTTAATTGTCCAAGTGATAAAAGCACATTCGTAAAGTAACTGACTAGAATTTAACAACCATGGTTTGGGAAGTGGGTGAATTAAAGTATATGGTCAATCTCTGCTGAAAAAAAAATATTAAAAATCGTAGACTGGAGAACACTGAATTGTTAAGTAATGTGTAAAATAAAACTGTCTTAGTTCATGGATTAAAAGTGTCTCTATATAAGACCTTACTTTTCTATAAAGTGCAAAGTACTGTACTTGAGGTTTATGAATTACATCCAATGAGAACTGCTAGGGCTGGAGTTTATTAGATCAGTCAGTGTTACAAATGTAATTTTAATCTTTGAAGTTTCTTTCAGCTTGAAAGGTAATATTAAACTTCAGTGACGGCCAAAAGAACTGGGAGAAACTAACTCAAGGCTCCTCTTGTTCAAATACAGTTTTGGTAGAGAAACATCATTGCTGACACAGAAAATATGGAACCAGTAATCTGAATATTGCACCCATCTGTGGAACATTATGGAGTGTGAATCATCCTCCTTGAAAATGATTAATACTATATTGTAGCATCTGGATAACATTTGCTGAGTTAATGCCACTCCTAGAAAATTGCAGGCATCGCTATGACTGTAAAAATAACAGCATGTTGAAAAGTGTCATTCCACATTCAATTTATCCCTTCTGATTTAATGTTTATTTTTAATCTTAAGAATATGTGATGATATGCATTCGTATGTCTAACGTTTACAATCTTTACTTACAGTATTTTGATATACCAACTAAATGCTGCAGAAACATCTGGAAAAGCAAAAGCTGATCTAGATAAAATTAAGCTTGAGTTTTCCCAGGTAGTCTCTAAAATGTCCTCCCTAAATTCTATGATGTAGGACTGCCATTCTTCAAAGCCCTTCTTTTCATGGAGGAATTTTTAAAATCAATATCAATCCACTCATTGTGAGGCATGATTTAATATTGGGATCACTTGGTTAGAATAAACCAGTCATTCAGAGACTGTACTTGCACATATGTCTACAGACATTATGGTACTATTTGGAATCGGCTAAAGCAAAAGAAGATTTAAAGGTAGACTTTCTTCAATTCTTTTTATTTTCCTTTGGAGCCATGCACGTCTAAAACTAAAACTTCAACAAGCTCAATTTTTTTCTAAACTTTTTGACAAATATATTAGCCAATATTTCCCCCCCCTGTTTTCAGTAGCTACCAGGCGTACATTTAATGATCCATCTACTAACAGATGCCTTGTGACTCTATATTATTGCAGCATCAGCATCACTCTCACTTTTTTCCCCCTGGCATTTCCCTGATTTGTGCTTTATTTATTCAGTTCAGAAGCCACCACTTTGTGGCTTTTTGCTTTGAACAATATTTACATAAGCAGTCTGACAATATGAGATTTTGACCTTTAAAGTGGCTTGTTGTAAAATTTCAAAACATTCTGATATTTGGATAATACAAATTGAGCTGTAAATTATACAGCAGAGAACATAAAATTATCCTTACAGAGACAACAATTGCACTCCACTCTTAATGTTTTCCCCTATTATAGAACATATTTTAAAGTGAAAGACAAATTAGCTTGCTGACAATACAAATATAAATTTAAGCCAAGATTGCTATTGACGTAACTTTTTAATTATTATTTTTAAAATTTACTGCCACAATTTTTATTGCCATATAAGTAAGCAGCTAATCATTTCCTTTACTCAAGTATAAATGCATTTTCACACTACTGTCCCATTTAACATACTTTATTTTGAAATTTAAATACCTGCTAATAAGTGAAAAATATGAAACTTAGTAGGCAGGTCCGCCTAAAGGTACAATAAAAATCAAAATAAAATGAATATTTTATATAGTATTCCTCGTACATCTCACACTTGCTTGAAGCCAAGAAAAATATGGAGTCTTTCTAAAGGTTAAATTTTTCAGCATTTAAGTGGTTTTATGAGATTATTATTTTCTACCCTTTCCATCATCTATGAACAATAAATTTTAACCTCTAAATGAACAAAGCTTTAGCTGCCTTGCAGAAACTACAGAGATGAATACAAGTCCAAAACAAATTTCACTGATATCTAAATCAAGTGCAAATGGTTTTAAAGCTTATCCATTTCTAATTAAGCCACAGTGGGGGGGTTTTCTCACATTTATCACAAAAGCAGAGACTAGGTCAGTGATTAGTGACTGGCTGAACATCTAGAAAACCTAATTTTATGCTTTTTAGAGAAAAAAACTAAAACAATGGAAAAGTTTTAGAGACGTACATATTGCACATTGAGGCCACCAGTTTGGCACTCCGTACTGGTACACCGAACTCATGCTAGAGATGAAATGGCAATAATGATTTCATATGTGATTTAACAAATAAATAAACTGATCGATATTAGAAGTGATTAACTATAAAGACTAAATAACCAGTACTAATAAAGATAGATCTGAACTAACCTTTTTGTTCCGATTTACCTGAATTGTTAGAAATGTTGATTTTGTTTAATAGGTACATTAGCCAAGAGAAAATATTCATTTGTATTTATATTAGCTGTGGTAATACGTAGTTTTATCCATGTGTCAGTATAGATGTAATGATAATATCAGAAGATTCAGTTCACCTAAACCAATCTTTAAACAAACACCTCTGAATACAGAAGAAGATTTTTGCTTTGCCATTTTGCACCTGAGCATATTCCTCTGTTTTAGTATTAATCTTTCCCTTTTTACTCAAGGCAACTGCAACGTAATTGTAAGACAGCCATAATAACCCTGAGACAACCTGGGGGAGAAGAGTACATGCAGAGCTATACAGTAAGGGACAGAGCTAAATCCCAAGCATTATCATGCCGTTTATACAGTACACGCCTAAGCCTGGCATTTACTATAGAAATAAGCTGCATCAGCTATGAGAAAATCTGCACAGTGGTTTATGCCTTAGGTGTGCCATGATTCATAAAGCTGAAGACTGATGATCCTCAGTCATCTAAACAGCACACTAATAACCTGTTTAGTTACACCTTGCAGTTGCGAACTACAGTCAGATGAGATTTGGGGATTACAGAGGCCAAGACTCAGGAAACCTGCATTTAATTCCCAGTTAACAAGGTTCATACAGAACTGTTGTTTGATCAGTTTGGATTGATATTTGCAAAGTGACTGTGGCCTTTAAATGTCCACACTGGGTGACCCTCATAGGCTCTCCAACTTTCAGAAAACAGTTTCTGCACTGCATACTCAACCGACATTTAAATGACTAAATTGGATACTCACAAATTAAAACAGTTATAGATTTATCACTTTTAAAACTTCAAGATCAAAATCCACAAATAGTACATAGTCACATTCTGTACACATTTTATCTATTTAGAGAATAATAACCTGTAATCGATGGCCTTGCTGGACTTGTCAATGCCAGATGAAAGACATGCTCAGACTCAGGCGCCAAGAGCCAAAGAGTTAACAATGGGAGCAATTAACTTGCACTTGTCTTATCAGACAGAAGTAAGGGGGGATAGCCCATCACTGTAAATCAAGTGACCTGTGGAGCGCGGCAGAGGTTGCGCCGCCAGAGATTGCTTCGGATGAAGAACAGATGCCCCCAGAAGCGCATACCAAGACGCCCGCTCTGAAGGCGTGTCACACTGCTGAGTCCCGCTTCTGAGGACAGAACATTCCACGTCAAGAACCAATCGACACATACTAATTGACTTGGTCCCACCTGGCCAAAAGATTTTCGAAACATATAAAAATAGACACTTGAAAACACCCTTGGGGGGGGGGAGCCAAGCAAGAACTTTACCGGACGGACGGGTTGACGAGCCTGAACCTCTCTTCCCCCGCCAGGAAGGGACGCCTTATTGGTAAGAGTCGCGCCACTGACTTTGTCAGACTTATCCCCGGGAACACATCGTTAACTAAATCGCTAAACCATTACTTTGAGCTCAATTTTTTGTAGACAGTGCATTTATCAATTGCAATCCCAAATCTGTGATACCTGTCGATTGAATAAATTACCTATTGTTTCAACTTTGCGAAACTGTTTCAGTGGCAGTCCTTGGGAGGGCTCTGGCAGGCAAGTCAAATCTGATAAGTGGCTACACACTTAACCCTTTAGACATAAACCGTTGACCAAGTCTGGGACTAGGAGGTGATCCAGCCGCACCTAGACTCTCCTCTGAGAGAGATTTTAGAATGCAAGGGGGTCTGTTCTGAACCTCGTGACTCAACGGGAGGGCTTTCCTTTCGCTGCTTATCACACTGCTTTACCCCTTTTAATGTGACATAACCTCATGACTATTTCTTCTTATTTACAAACCACACTATTATGTGTACTGATTTAATTGGGTTCTTGTAGGTATTGTGATAATAACAAATTCAACATAAAAAATTATAATTTAAATCTGTATTTTGAAGTTTCATCAACGTATTATTAACTTGTAAAGTCTAGTACCACACTAATAGGAGGCTTTCTTTAATGTTTCTAAGAAAACATGTGGTAGTAACAGATTATATTCAGAAGAGTGAAAGATAACAATCATGAAAAAGCATTATGTGAATCTAGTTTTCCATTGTTTCAATACAAAGGCAATCTTAAACCTCTCAAATACAATCGGGTTAGCTACAGGTGAACATTCCGGTTTTGTGTGATTTTATGTACACATTTTATGCTAAACACTTGTTACAAAAGCAATTATTGTTTCTGAAAGATGCTAACTGAAAAGCAAATTACCTTGAATTAAATTACCATACAATTTTCAGAGGAGTTACAACATTCCTACTACTTCTCTACAAATTGTATACCATCTAAAAGGAATACAAACTAGCTTTTCATAGAACAAATTGCAAGCATTTTTAATCTTTTTTTTTCCTTTAAAACATGGCCTTACTGCAGAGTGAATAATTATAAAGCTGTTTTGAGTAATCAACAAAGTATAGGAACTTGCTTGTGGAATAAAATTTAGAATTTAATCTCTATCAGTCAATATGAGGAAAAAAGATTTTGGTAAAATGTTTTTAATTTTTAAAAATTATTTTAGTTTGAAAAAATAGTCTACACCACATTTTATGCAACTATAATGAATTAGTATGATTTAGTAACATTCTTCCTTCTTATTTATCTAAAATTCATTGGTTGCTTAAGTAAAAACAACTCTAAGAAATCCCACCGAGACAATCTGAGCCTTGGATAAGACAAATGGTTATTTATTAGACAAAGGGACGTATGGGGCAAGAACAAATATCAAAGTACATCATTTTAACTTTAAGAAGGTAAGAGCTTGTTGAGAATTCAAGATACTAGTGCAGAATGCATGTATCCATGACATTGATGCAAATCTCATGCCTCCTCCACTTTACAACTGTGTGGTCGTGCAACTCCACTCCCCCTCCCCCCGGGCAATCTCAGACCCAGCCAGCATTGTATTCTTGCTTACACTGCAAGAATAGCTATCTGGTGTGACTAGCAGTGATTAGCAGAACTGTACATTCTGGGAAGTACTGGAATTGTGTAGTTACAGTCTAAATATCGGAATTACGTCACGTGGATTGTGACCAGGATGGAAAAATACTAATGCCTGAAGTCAATCACCTTGAGACCCTATAAACAGAGGTACCAAGGAGAGCCCTTTGAATCCTTCTGGTCTGCAGTGGGCTGCGCCCAGTAATTCCCTCTGTGTGGGACGCCTTTCAGAGTGACTCGCGAACTGCCTGGGCTGATCTGCTTAAGAAATCATTTGATTTGAAGTAAGTATTTCACTGAAATTGAGGGCAATTTTTATGATTGGATGTGTGTGTGTGTGAGACTCTCGATTCAAAGCATAATATCCTATTACTGTGATTGTAATTGCAAACTCTTTCTAATCACTCTGTAAATGTGAAGTTAACCAGTGATTAACAGCCGCTAAACTCCTGTGATTCTCACTAAACTATGAATACAGCACAAATTATTGCCATACATATCCCTTAGGCATAAACCATTGTGGTCTAAGGCCGGTTCTGGATCCGGCCGCACCTAGGCTTCTCTCTGAGAAGTTTAAAAAGCAAGAGGGTCCAGTCCAAACTTGGTTACTCAACAGGAGGGTCTCCCTGTCCCCCTGCACATTTTCTCACACTCTGTATAAATTATTTTCTACTCATATTCAATGCCAACGAACTGTATAAGATCACATTTTCTAAATTTTCAGTATTTTTTTTCTTGCAAAACCTTGGAGTGATCATTTAAGTGACCTAACCACTCATTTGTGACAGTCTTAAATTCTGATTTTGTCTGCAGCTTAGCGTTTACCTCTGCAGCTCTTCAAGACAGTTGACTGAGTGTGAGATCTGTATGTCAGGCTCTTCCCTGAAAATCGTTGTTCATGTTCTTTTTTCACAAAGGCCATTGTTACAAGTAGGTCTAAACTCATGTGAAACACATCTGACACATGTACGATACATTAGGTTCACTGTTGATATGGTGAGCCCAGAACTGGACACAGTACTCCAGATGAGGCCTCACAAGGGCAGTGTAGAGGGGAAGGAGAACCTCCCTCGACCTACTGGCCACACTCCTCCTAATGCACCCCAGGATCCCATTAGCCTTCTTGGCAGCCAGGGCACACTGCTGGCTCATGGTCAACCTGTTGTTCACCAGGACACCCAGGTCCCTCTCCACAGAGCTGCACTCCAGCAAGTCCGCCCCAAGCCTGTACTGGTGCATGGGGTTGTTCCTCCCCAGGTGCAGGACGCTGCATTTGTCCTTGTTGAACCTCATCAGGTTCATCTCTGTCCAACTTGATCTAGTATTCCATTCATTTAATAAGTAATAGAGTGAATCTTGCCAATAAACTTTGTAAGAGCACATTTTATAAATTTTCAGTAAAATCTTTTCTTGCAAAACCTTTGATTGATTATTTAAGTGACCTAACCACTCATTCGCGGCAAACTGGCACTCACATTGATGAATGTGACTGGATTTGCACTGCATGTTAAACTTGGGTCAGAAAAAAATTTGATCTGGTAGCCTGCCTCCTCACTTCTAAACTCTTACACAAAAAAGTGCATCAGGTGCACAGGTCCCAGCCCTGTTACCACTTGCCAACACCTGAAGCCTAATTTTTATGCTGTGCTGTTGGATCTTCAGGACTTTTTCTCAGGAATGGATGTGAAAATAAAAACGGAAAAAGAGAAAGTAAATTCCTAGCAGTACTACCATTCAGCTACTCCCAGAAAAAGTCTTCTAGGAATAAATGAGAGAAGAAGTAAGGCTCTGGAACCAGACAAGCAACACTTGACTGGGGTTTCACTGTGCAGCAGTGATGCTTAGGCACCTCCTCCTTTGTAAAGACTGGCAGCTGGCTGGGAACAAAACAGCAGCAGCAGGACACAGTTCCAAAATGCAGGACTCAAAGCTAGGGTTAGCATACAAATGCAGCCTAAACTCTGCCTGCAGCTTTGAACTGTACCCAAAAGGAACAGTTTAGATTGGAAGTGATGACCGCACATACATATGTCTACTTGGATAAACAATGGTGGTGCATTCAGACAGCTGAATTTGGAAGTCCTGTTCCTTGACAAATAAAATCAGTGTTAAGGTGGTCATATGACAGATTGTTTTTCAGTGCACAGCTCATTATTCAAATACTATGTTCAGAGAGCTTACCCTCAATTCTTTAACAAATGCTCATTTGGCACACTTTAAAAATGACCAGAATAAAACCTCAGGTTTCTTCATTTATTGGTTGTATTTGAACCGTGGTGTCAGTAAAATAAGCAAGGTATTGCCTGGTGAAATGCTGTGTCTCTATTCAATGTTCTTTAAGACATACGACTCCTATTTAAGCAAAACTTATGCCCAGGTCAAGCTGCAGTGTACATACAATAGTTTCTTATGTGATCTTCAGGAAGTCCCTTTTTATATATAACAGAAATAGTGACATTTCAGTTTGGAATGAAGTGAATTGCTATTGCAGAATTTTTCTTCTTAAGTACATTGGACCAAAGTTTTAAATGGGTTTTTCATTTCATGTATACATCTGGAGACACCTTGACATAGAAACAAAGTATCTGAGCTTGAAAATCCCAAACTAAATTTTTTGCGTGGCTCATCATACAAAATGGTGTTCTGCCTGGAATGTTAGGTGTCCCTGTTTACAGAAATCACAGTGGGTGGGTGTGTGGAGGGCTACTGTACATTGAATGGAAAATAAGAATAACAGGAAGCAGACGTACCTAGCAGTGTCAAGACACAAGCCAATATTGCTACTAGGGCTCCAGTGCTAAGTCCTGCGGGCAAGATATATGCTTCTGCATTGCATGTCTGAGCAATACCATCTGCATCACAATCACAGACTCTGATGGTGAGGGTATTAGTGCTACTAAGTGAAGGTGATCCACTGTCCACAATGAATATCGGCAAGTAGAAAACAGACTGTTCCTGTCTTCGGAACCCATTTCTTCTGGTTAATACTGTTGCAGTGTTGTCTAGATAAAGGAATAAAAACATACATATAAAGTACATGACCTTTCTAAAACACGAGCCTATAAATAATACGATCTTTCACTTAAAAGAATTTATGAACACATTTATATTATTTCAACAAGTTTATCTTTCCTGGTTACATATTTTTGAAGTGGCAGAGACAGGATCAGCTGAGAAATGATACCCAACTAAACAAAAAGATTTCTGTTTTCCTTTTTCAAAATTGCAGAGGTCTGTTTGGTTTTAGCTGAGCTCACAGTTCCACTTGCTTGATAGATAGCTAAAGATGAGATCATTATAAAAAAGAAAAAATTTACTCTTCAGTGATCAGATTAAGTATCTATATACCTGTTTCAGACAGGTCTAATTTTAAGGGATCTATTTCAATTATTCACAAATATAAATATCACATGAATGGAAGGGATGAACATATTAATAGGAGAATAAGTTCTAAAGACCAATGAATTATTTTTGAATGCAAAAAAAATCCAGTTGGTGCACAAATACAGATAATTGCACATGTAGCAAAGACGTGCACTTGTTTTCAGTCTGAGAGTCAAGATGACTAATATAATCAATCTGTAAGTGTGGTTTGATGCTGCTCTGAGTCGGATGATTAAAAAGTGCATGGGTTCCAGAAAATATGTGTAAAACTCACTGTGTTCAATACAGGTTGACAGCTCCTGAGTGGTAGGGAATTACATCTCCTAGAATGCATAGAAAACGTCGGTCGGTCTGTCTGTCTATCTATCTACTTATCGATCTATTTATAGACAGATATATCAGTAGTCCTGTAAAGTTATCTTATTGTGTCATCTGTTATGACCTATCTGGCAAAATATGCAAGCACTTCTTCATATAGCATCATATGAGATATGCATAAAATTAATTAACATTAAAAGAGGCAACTGCTGCTATGTGTTGTAACTTCATTGATTTTACTGGCATTGTAAAAGTCTATTATTACTTTTCCCAAATTGTAAGTTCTCTGGAAGAGAGCCTGTCTTTTCACTAAATACTTTACAATAGTTGTAACAACGTCAGATTTCTGAATAGAGTCTTATTCTAATGCATTTGTATTATTTTGATCATTATTCCTATCACAGTCTGTAGTTTTGAACTGCAAGCTGCTCATATGAAGAAAATTAAGCATGTCAGTAACTACATGCAGAGTAAAGCAATAAATAGCTGTGTGAGAGAACTTTATTAGGTGACATGTTATACTTAGTGAATGTTGTTCAAAGTCTGTCTGTACAAACAGTATCCGTTAGTCCACCATATGTCTGTTTTTCTTGTTTTATTAACAAGGACAACTTTGTAGCTCTGGTTTAGTACTGACCCACAAAAGAGCAATGCAAGAGTAATTTTGTGTCTATTTAGTCCTATTTGCTTCAGATATTAGCTGAACTGACTGACACATGCCCAGCTGTCATACGATGCAGTGCAACTAATGAGAACACTAATTAGAAGAGTGTTCTCAGATATTTTAACTAATGGAAACGTGATGTCAATGGGAGTCTTTGCATAAGTCTTTGGGGAAATAGTCATAAGAAGTCTGTGTAAATACTGTAGGCAGCTTGCATTATCAAAAGCTTTCTTCAATATGTGGTATACTTACTGAAAAGATTTGTTTTTCTAAAAAAAAAAGAAAACCTCTCAATTTATTGTGCACTCACTTTTTATGCCCTGAGTTATATCAATAAAACATGAATTCCTAGACATTTTTCAGTCACTGCCCCAAGGTAAAATCTAATTTGGATAAAAACCTATAAATACAAGGAAAAAATGTGAGAAGAGTGATTTCTGGAAAAAAAAAGAAGGAAAGATTTGAAGCTGTTCTGTTTGGCTCAAGGCTTTAAATCATTCAAACAGCAGCTTAATTCCCTTGACAATAACTCTATAGATAAAATTATTTTGCCAGTTGATAGTAGTTTAATTTATGTCCTTACCAGAATAGAAGTTTATGTAGGTCACAATCAGCATGACATATTCAAAGTAAAAGGTACTAGCGGTGAATATTTACCCAGATAAAATGTCCTTACCTTTGTTGTCCTGCAGTGTAAAATTGTGGTTATTTGCTGCCTCTGCTGTTAAACTGAAGTAGAACTGATGACCATTTGGTGGGTCGTCTTTATCAATTGCACTGATTTTCTGGATCACCTGTTTTGAGATACATCTGGATTTCATTGTTTGGAATAGTAAGAAGTGTAAATACATGTACATTGTACAAGCCCTCTATAACCTATCAAAGTATCAACCCTCCCTTGAGTCCTGCTCATACTGCATTTTGGTTTTCTAATCTCCTAAGCATGTACAGACACTGTTAAAGCTAAAATGTGACTTGACTCTTTACTTTGCATGTACCAACTCTATTGGCCAGCTGCAGTGATCTGCAGGGCCTGTGAGACAGTTAGGTCCTGTCATTCACCAGAGCATGGAGCATGAACTGCACAACAGTGGAAGAAGTGTATCTTCTGGATGGTCCTTAATGCAGTGATCAGTGGCTGCAATCAAAGTTGTAAACTTTTGCAAGGAGAAGATTATACTTTTGAGCATTTTAATTATTATACTTTTTTTTTTTTAATATCATGAAAAATAAAAAGCCAAGTCATAAGTATATTAGAATTTTCTGGGATTTCATTTTTATGATAATCATTATTTTTCCAATTTTCTAAAATTCTGTAAAAATCTGTCTCTAAAAAAATGTGTCACCATTGCTTAAAACCCATAAAGAATGAGTATGCAGAGCTAACAGTTCTGACTAGATCATAGGGAAAACAAACAGGTGCTCCAATATGAGCATGCATATTTTGTGTTTCTTATGAGCACAAGCTAATAATCATAGTGTTTTCTGTTAAGGATTTAAATTACACTGTGATATTGAAATGTGCAATAAACAACATCTGCCACAGGAAGGACAACATTGTGGGAGAAGGCACAAAAGTCCAAAGTCTCCCAGGGAATATGTGGGATCTATGTGGGTGAAACATCTACTAGTTTTCTAGGAGAGAGAAGAACGAATGAGAAAATACACGAATTTTCTGAGGTCTTACAAAGTAGAGAGAAAAAGCCCAAATATTAGAGACACCAAGGATAAACAAGACCAAATACTTTTAGTTGAGACTAAGACTACTTGGAAGACATTCAATGAGTTAAAAAAACTGTGAAATACGATAGGAATATGTCTCACTTGTGAAATTGTGGCCTTATGGCCCATACTTCCTAAGTGAAATAAAAGTGTGTACTCATTTTAGGAATGGTAGGCAGGTAGTCTCAGAATAATCTTTGTGTCATGACTTCCCACTTCCCAGGAAAATTAGGAGGAAGCACGTATTCTATATATTATTCAAAATTAGGTGAGTTTAGCACAATGTGTCAGTTGTATCAGTAAGAAAGCCAGAGATTTTAACAGTACCTTCAATAAGCAGTTTTTACACCAGAGTCTTTTATCCATGGATTCGATTCATATTTTCTTGTGCTGCACATCAAAGTGTCATTTTTACTGCCATAAGCTGATTATATTTTATCTTAAAGCTGGTAGGCTTTCATAAGGAATGGCTGCTTATCTGATAAAAATAAACCTAAAAAATCCTATCAAGCCATACCTGACCAGGTTGAGCATTTTCACAGACAGTTGTTTCATACTCCATGGCAAACTCAGGGGCATTGTCATTGATGTCAAGGATAGTGATGGCTACATAGCCTCTCCCAATTTGTGCTGGATTCTCTATAGGAAAAGAAGCCAACAAAACAATCAAGAAGAGCTCCTTGCAAGTTATTCTCTGGGTCAGTACGGTTTTCATTTGCATTCTTCTTTTGCATATACATGTTAAATCAATTACAATACTTCCTAGAAAGACAAAAGAAACTCTTGGCTTGATCTTCTGGACCTAGTGGAAAAAAATGTTTATGTTTCCCAGCCACTTCAATTAAACTAAGATTTTACTCTAAGGGATAAACTGAAGATCTAACTCACTATTCACATCACTGAATCACATCATATGGAATGATGAGAGCAAGATGATGTAAAATCATCATCAAGGGGTATAGCTAGCCAGAACAGCACTATTCATACCAGGAATAGCATGGTTATTATGGGTTAAACAATTTTTTGTTGCAATTCCTATTGATTAGGCTATTAAAAAGTTAAAACAGATTTCCGTCAGCTATGTATAACAGAAAAGAGAGGAAGCTGTATTCCCAAGCAAATCCCAAAGTATTTAAAGTGCACACACAACTAAGCATTTCAATACTGTCATTAACACGATGAACACCTTAAATATGAATCACATTCTTAAACTGATGCACATCTCTAGCTAATGTATGAATCTGCTCAGGGTTCAATGTCACCATTTAATCTTAGACAGTAGATATTTTTGGACTAAGCATAAAGGAGATCAGTGAGTGCTATACTTATTTTGTTAGAGAACGCTTCTGTTTTGGAGCAGGGAAAAGAGAGATTGCATTATTTTTTTACCACGGGTAGTGATAGTAGTGATAGAGCAGGGAAGAGTGAAAAACTCTACAAACCTCTAAATATGTATCTACTGTTTTTGAGGGTATTGCATGTACATTTAAATAAATATTTTAAGTATTTAAAGCAATGCATCCAAATGTAGATCGCAAAGTGTTTTGATTTGTTTTATTTTTTTTTTAATCCATATGTGAAATACCAGATGATTAAGCAATTTTGACACCAATTTTTTCCTCTGCTGATCTAAGCTTATTGAAAATCAAGCAGGCCGTGAACATAAATTAAAGCATTGTAAGGTATTTCTTGTGCTCCTAGACTCTCACTTGTGTCAGATATGCTCCTTGGCTACCTTGTCATTTTTATTACTACCCAGGAAAATTTTTGGTATTCATGATGGCCTCCTAGACCAAAATTCTACCCCTGATAATACAGGTGAAATTCACAGACACTAAATGATAAACGTTAGCTTTCATGTTAAACATTAAATTAACCTCATTGAAAGCAAGAAGTGAGGATTTTTAAAATAGCAGGCCAGAGGACTGATAACTTTTTTATTATCAGGGCCCAACAGCGGAGTGATAAAGATGGCAACCTGAAGGCAAAAATACATAGTTTTTCACAGATTGTATTCGGAGCTGAACAAGTTTAGGTTTAAATCCGCATTAACAGAATTCTTGTTGTATGTGCTTGAAGGCTTCGATTCTTCAACACTTTTCATCTCACACCAGAAAAGACACCAAGTACAAAATATCCTCTACCGTCCTACCTTAGAGTCAGGAAAGTGAAACCACAGATGCGTTTACATTCCTTTTCCTTAATACATTTTAAGAATGTTGTGGTTGACCAACAGCAATCAACTCTAAAAGAGTGCCATCACTAAGATGGGCTAAATGGTCTCCTCTATACTCCATATCACTTTTCCTCTAATGACATTTGGTCTGAGACTGCCGACTTAACATTTAATCTTCCTTTGTACTTGTTTTTCAGAAGTCAAAAGACTACACAAGGTGTGAGGCAAAGGAAAGAGCAAATACTTCATCTGTTGTATTTCTCAATTTTTATCACAGAAGTTTCTTTTACATTGATTAAGAAGTCATTTTTATCTGACAGGGTTTGAAATTGTCATAATTTCTGATCACAACTGATCACTACCAAGCCTCAAGTTTTACAAATAAACAGCCAATAAATTGTTTAAATTGTTACTTACGACTCTCCATAGCCAAAACTGTGATATTATGAACTGCATTAGTTTCCCTGTCCAAAGATTTGGCAGTTGTAATGACTCCACTGTTGGCATCAATATTGAAATACCTCTCCAGGTCTGTGTTTCGATCTATCGAGTACCTAGGTGAAAGACGAAAGAAAATTTTTGATTTTTTTTCAGTTACAACTTGTAAAAATGTTTCACTGATTTCTTATTAGAGAGTATGAGTTTCCACTGTTTCCCCAATCTGAGTTTTGTTTTGTCCAGTTGCTCTGGGGTGCTGAGAGAAGCAAAGCCATATGCAAAGGCAAGACAGTTACACAGTGACCTGTGCTGACAGTGGCAGGCTCCATTGCCACAGTACTCAAGTGAGGTTGTAGATATTCCCCTCTCTCTTCTTTCTTCCTCTCTGCTATAAAGCAAACTTTCATTTATTCATGCAGTAGCATCCTCTTGAACCCCAGCTAAGGAGAAGGCAAGTTGGAAGTTTGCTGCATGGCTGTATCAGCTGGGCTCTGCTCCCATGCGGGCTGGTAATTGGAGCACAGAATGTTCTATCACCAGTAAAAGAGCCCCTGAGTCACCCAGAGTTGCAGAGGCAGGGAAAAAAAGAGACATGATGCAGAGTAGGTCAAGGGATTACGTGTCATCACTGTCAGCTCCAGGTGCTCTACTGTCATTAGACAAACGCAGGCTCATGCCCTTAACTCTTTGGCTTAACATAACTTTTACCTCCAGATTTGTTTCAGGAAGGGGAAACGAGCTCCTTAGCAAAGAGAAAATAGCATAAGGGAAAAGGTCAAAAAGCCTGTGAGTCATTTGCTTATAACCCTTTTGAGAGAAAAGGACAGTTGATTAGGCAGATTTAGATTTACAACTGGAATATTCTTTACATTCAATTTAATATTGGGTGAGATTCCTGCACTCTCGTTTGGATCAAGTATGTACTCCAGAGCACCTCCCTACACTCAGGATGAATTAAAATGTCTGAATCAGACCAAGTGTGATCATTACAATTACTGTCATACTGATGATATAGAGAAATTATTGATGTAACATTAATCAAACACTTCAAACAACGTGGAACAAGATTTACGGAAGTTAGTTTAAAAATGGGACTTCCCAGATATAACGATCTTATGACACTACTTGTTCTGTGTTGCATTTTACCAGCTTCTACTTTGCTGTATTACTGTTGTTCTACCTATGTCTCTTGGCTGCAACATCTTACAGCAGAGACTTATTACATGATTAGAATTGTTTTACCATATTATGTCATGGTGAGAGAATGGAGTAAAGAGTTGTAACAACAGTAACAGCAGTTTCCATGGATTAAGTCTTTCCTTCTTTCACTCCCCACCCCCACCTTTTATGTTTAACTGTAGTTCATTTTTTACTGGTTTTCATGCCAACATTGTTTATTTGGTCAGCAGTTCTTTTCAGCTGTTGTATGGCTGGCAGGCTTCCCCAGGAGACTATGGCTGGCACCTCTGCTATATTGTCAGTCTTGGCAGGCCCCGTAGCTGGGATTCAATTTCCTGCCAGCCCTTAGATTTCCCAATTATTGACACTATCACTATGCATTTTGAAGAGCCAAAGAACTTTCTTAAAAAAATAGTAAGAAAGAAAGAAAGGAAAAAAGACAATGACGAGAAGGAGGAGAAAGAGAAGGAGGAGGAGGAGGAGAGAGGTAAGAAAGAAAGAAAAAGCAAAAGAAAGCAAGGAAGCAATAAAAAAAAAAACAATGAAAAGGAGGAAGGAAGGAAGGAGGGAAGGGAGGGAAGGGAAAGCAAACAAGTTATATGAATTGGAAAACAGATTCTTATAAACCAAGAAGAAAAATAATTTTTATGCACAGGAAACAAGCAGTTTCCCTTAACTTATTTAGAAGTGTAGTATCCATATTCAAATTCTAAAAAACCTATTTTAAATACTTTTAATCCTTTAATTCCTTGTAGTCATTAATACTTGAAAATCTTTGAGCTGCAGGAGTTTTAAATCCTTTATTTAAGCTAGTTCAAACATCAGTAGTTCTCTGGTCCACATGAGATAACCTCTTATTTCCAAAATATTTTTTGCTTTCCCCCCCCCCATATTACTAAGATTTTAGTTGTGTCTGATCTCGTAATTTCAACATTTTTCTGATCTGTAACAAATCTAATTTTTAAACAATATCAATATAATCCAATGTTTCAAATTTAGAATACTTCTTTACAGACTAATAATTTAAACTTCTTAAATAGATCATGAAAAGTATTATGCATTAATCTTCCTTAACACATTCCAATTTTAGGTGAATCTGGCTCTGATGTGCATCATAGCAGATGCAGGACAGCTTTAAATTATATGATCTGTCAGGACCCCCAACAATGTACTTAGCAGGTTTGCAAGCATATAGATAAACTTTCACTATTTCTTATTTTCCTCCCTTTCAAATGCCAACCAACTTTGAAGCAGAAGAGATCTTCAATATGTTAGTGAAGATATTTTATGCTGGAATTATAAAAATTAACCAGATCAAGGCAAACAAACTCATCCTCATATTTACACAGGGGCCAAAAGCATTCTGAGTATGGAATGCATTTATGGATCCGGATTTAATCGTACTCTACATGACTCTACTAAACCAGATATTATAGACCAGTTGCTAACATCAGTGCCACAAAACACTGTCACAGCAAAGAAAGAGCTCAACAAAGATAAATTTCACAAGTAAATCCATGCCAACCATCCAGCTAGGACTTGTTTATACATGATAAGAATCAACTACATTGAATACGTTGCAAATACATTAGGAAAGAGGGAGGACACTTACGTCAGCTCTAGGAGTGAAACACACGCTTTATTTTTACAATTTAAGATTGCTGCTTTAGAAATTACAGAGCTACACTAGAGTCCCAAGTTCACCTTCTACGCACGAAAGTAAAAATTTAACATCACCAGAAAAGGTGACATCCAAATGAGTTCTGCACCTGTGAAGTTCTTTTCTATGTATGCCCTAAACAAACAATAATAACAAATGAAAGTTAGTACTAACTTTCAATTGTGTGTATGTTCCTCCTCCTGCAGATGTTTAAGTTCACAGAATGCCTGAGTCAGAACTATTACCTTCTAGATCCTTTGCACGTTCTTTTGACAATTAATGTTACTACTCTGCACAAGACAAGTAACTCCCTACTGGTTTAACTTCGGTAGAGAGTCTTTGTCCTCTACTTTGACCTTAGATACAAGCAAACATAAGTTTGATACTTTGTGTTTTCTTATGGTTTCTTTATGATCCTGGACATTAAGTTGCAGAAGACTTGCAGGTTCTCCGCACACTGAAAACAAAGGAAGAGGCCCTTGACAGTTTTCATGCGTCTGTAGTGTTCATAACTATTCCCATTCAAATGAAGATATTTGGCTGCGGTAGAATTTACAAAAGGCGAAAGATTATTGCCTTTAACCATTCTGACTAGGACAGGATGTGTCTTGTCCTATCCATTTCTCTCATGTAAAGAGTTTTTTCTAATGTTTTTTTTCTGTGGGACCTCAGCTCTGTTTTTCCATGCAAGAGTCTATGTGCTATTATATTCTTCTGCATAGTGCACACAGAATATGAATTATTATGCACATACACACAGACACACACATATATGTATAATATACATATATTTCTTGGACCTTGTTGATTTAAGAGAACATAACTTATTATAGATAGTGCTAGACTCTTCCTAAACTTAGAGATAAATAAACATGAGTAACATGTTTAGATTGCTTTCTCTGGAATGCTGAAATTATATCTTCTTTTCTTTGTTTTACAGAGATTTAAATATATTATTTCTTCAAAGGTTCTGTAGTTCACGACAGTCAAAATATGGAAACTCTTAGGACATCTCTATCTCTCTCCGCAAGGGAAAAAAGCTAACAAACTGCTTTTAGTGCAAACAAAGTCCTTCCAACAACAAAATGAACAACTTCAATACAAAGGCTAAATAAATAAACAATTAAGACATCTTATGATTACCTGACAGGACTATTTGAGGCATCTGGATCATGGGCTGCTACAGTTCCAATGACAGTACCGACCTTTGCTGCTTCAGACACCACCACAGAGTACAAACGTGAAGTAAATATGGGTGGCTCATCAACATCTTCTACAATTATCTTCACTGTTGTCATGTCACTGAAGGGTCCCAGACTCAGGAAGCGAGGGTCAACATGCATATTGGCTGCTTCTATCCTCAGGCTATAGCTTGTCTTAGATTCGAAATCCAGTTCCTATACAGGTAAAGTTATTTGGAGATTTTATTATCCAGTGAATTGCTATTTGTACCCAACCAGCACTTCTGACTGGCAAAGTATAGTTGATTTTTTATTTTTTTCAAAATGCTGTTTGCAGTATCTCGCTAGTGAATATTCCCCAATGACTTCGATAGTAAAGGTAGTTCTACCCTGTGAAAGAAATAAGAATTCTCCGAGTTACCAGCAAAACTTTCTGTGACCTGTCTAAGGACCAAATTCTCCCTCATTATTTCATCACTGGGAATGAATATTTCTTTTGTCTTATTCATCTTTTATCTAAGGTAATGTCAAATACAATGTGCCATACTACCCAGGCCTAAGAACTCGATATAATATTCACTAAAGAAAGCACCTCATTCAGAAAATTGTGGGGGTTTTCTTTGCATAGCATTGAGATTGACTAATGAATTATTACTCCAAGCTCTGTATAAATTTGTGTAGAAAATGTGGCAATCAGTTAAACCACATTGTTTATATGACAATATTTTGTACTGAGATGCAGACTGAAGATTGTTTTGGTTTGCTTATTAAACAAAATGCACATTAATTTTTTTTCTGCCTGCATTCTGCTTTAATTTTCTTTGATGCAAGTATAGTATCTTTGGGAATAAATACTGCATTAGAATTAAAAATTACCCCCCACAACTAATGAGAACTATGTGATCTGGAGGACAGTCCCATAAAGAAAATTATTTTGGAAGAAAAAAAAGCATCTTATCTCACAGGCAATTATTGAAAGAAAGCATCGTGTTAATGTTAGCACCATTTACCCTATATCTACAGTCTTAGTTTGTCAGCTAGCACACCTGGCTAGCTGTTCCTTTGCAATTCTAAGTTTCAGCATGAAGAACAGCAACTAAAGACTTAAACATTTCTAAAACTGCAGTGTGGTTACTCAACTACCTTTTCAAACTATAATTCCAAGTGTATAAAACATATTAAAAACGGTTTTCGGCAGTTCTGATTCTGCATACATCATAGGGATCTGAAATGTGCTTGCAGAATAATCTGGCAACATCTGCAAAACATTCCTGTACTCACTCAGGGGAGTGGCAGAGGTGAAACACACATCTGTTGACCTACACATACAAGGGTCTAAATTCTCCATCAAGTTACAGTAGCATAAATCCCAAAAGAGCATCTTAAAGTCAGCAGTTATCCTGACATTACAATATTTAAAAATGAAAAACAAATTGCAACACATCACACTCAGAAAGGCACTGAACTTTCATAAACTCTATGTGGCAGCAAAAGGCTTCTCCGAAAGGGAATACATGTGATCCTCATGTTAAGAAAGCACTTACTTCTTGCACAGAATCAGAGCCATAGTATCCATAGCTCTCCAAACACAGATACGCCATAAAAGAAATGTTGGCTGGATACTGGTCACTGTACTGGATACAACTGGTCAGTATTTATTACTAAAGCATGTTTAATTGTTTTTAACTTTATTTTTGCTTTTATATTTAAAGTACATGTCCTGGCTACAGTGACTTTTCACAGGAAGCTGAAGGGGACACAGCCAGGACAGCTGACCCATTCGCCAAACGGGATATTCAATACCTTGTGATGTCATGCTCAGTATGTAACCGGAGGAGCTGGCCGGAGGATGGGAATTGCTGCTTGGGAGCAGACTGGGCATCGGACAGTGAGCAAAATCGCACTGTGTATCCCTCAGTTTGTGTATTCTAATTATCAATATGGTTGTTTTTATTATTCTCTTCATTTGCTGTTAAACTGTCTTTATCCCAAAACATGAGTTTTGCCCTTTTCTTCCAATTCTCCCCATCCCACCAATGGGAGAGGAGTGAGTGAGCAGGCGTATGGTTCTTTGCTGCTGTCTGGGACTGAGCCACAACAGTACAATATGTGTGCTATGAAACAAACCTTACAGCGATAATGCAAGTGCAATGGGGTGTCAGGATGACCAAAAATGTCTCAGAAACTGTATTGTGTGGTGACAACAATTAAGAAACCGGTATATCCAGGTGAGCAGCAAGGTTAAGGAGAAAACAATCAAGCACACAAATATCTTAATACTTCTCATTTTTCAAAAAAGGCATTATGTTAACTTAAGAAATGGTAGCTTGAAGAATGTCAAGACAAAAGGCTGAGGTATGTTTAACCAAAGGAGAAAAAAGCAAAGCTTTAGCAAATAGCATATATTTTCAGTCAGAATGTACAAAAATACATAGCAGAGAAGGGAATCACAGAATCACAGAATCACAGAATGGTAGGGGTTGGAAGGGACCTCTGTGGGTCATCTAGTCCAAACACCCTGCCAAAGTAGGGTCACCTACAGCAGGCTGCACAGGACCTCGTCCAGGCGGGTCTTGAATATCTCCAGAGAAGGAGACTCCACAACCTCCCTGGGCAGACTGTTCAGTGCTCCATCACCCTCAGAGGGAAGAAATTCTTCCTCACGTTCAGACAGAACTTCCTATGCTTCAGTTTGTGCCCATTGCCCCTTGTCCTGTTGCTGGGCACCACTGAAAGGAGTTTGGTCCCATCCTCCTGACACCCATCCTTCAGATATTTATAAGCATTTATTAGGTCCCCGTCGCAGCCTTCTCTTCTTCAGGCTGAACAAGCCCAGCTGCCTCAGCCTTTCCTTGTAGGAGAGATGTTCCAGTCCCCTCACCGTCCTTGTAGCCCTCCGCTGGACTCTCTCCAGTAGCTCTTCATCTTTCTTGAATTGGGGAGCCCAGAACTGGACACAGTACTCCAGATGAG